TCTAGAAAAATATTTTTTACTTTTTAACTTTTTCATATATTAGATAGGTTATGAGAATTGTTGATCTCACACAATGCTATAATTAGTAAAAATGTTGATTTGAATCGTTTTTGCAAAGTTAATCTCGAGTTTGCGTCATATCCGCGAATTGCTTCTTCTAATAGAATTTAAAAGTAACATAGTAATACATATTATAGTAATTCAGAAGATATTACGGTTGAAAACAGACATAATTTAGCAAGCGTACGTGTTAGTCGTTGCGTTTTGATCGATTTTATATTACTCCGCTTTGCAAAGATATACGTGAAGAAAAAAATGATACATCTCATAACAATTGATTTCTTCCTGCATTTAAAATGATGGAAAAAAATTGCAAGAGATATGAGAAGATTAGAAGAAAAAGGAAGAAGAGGAAGTGTGGAGAAGTGGGAGGAAGAGATGAGAGATGGAAAAAGTAAGGAAGGTAGAAAAGAAAGAAAGAAATAGTTGAAGACATAAAATTAGTTTCATTTAGTTTATTGAAATGAATGTAGTAAGCTAAGTTTTTGTAAATACTTTGCAAATTTAGTTAGTAAATTTAAAAGAATAAATGAAAAAAAGTGAAAGAGAAATAATGGAAATGAAAAAAAAAAGTTGTAAAAATTTCATTCATTTAAATATTTTTACTTTTTTTCATCATTAAATAACTTTTTTATTATTTTCTATTTTTTTTTTTTTCTTTTTTTTTTTAAATTTGTTCTTCTAATTGATTTTGCTTTCTTTTGTTCGTCTTTTCCTTCTTTTTTTCTTTTTCTTTCTTTTTTTTTGTTTCATTTCATTTGTTTTACTCTCATTAGTTTACTTTTTCTCACTTTTTCTATATAAGTTGTCCTCTTTTATAGCAAATAATTAGATTAATTTTTTTTTTTCATTAGCAATTCTTTTTCTCTTCTAACTTTATCACACTTTATTCTCAATTATGTCTATGTATGATAAATATTGTATTTTTATATCGTTAAAAATGAATGATAGTGATTAGTTGTGTGATATAATATATTGTATAATAATGAGCACTGGTGTCATATTTATGATAATGATTAATTGTGTAATGTGATATTGTATGATAATATTGCAATAATCATTTGTATACTTATATTGATTAGTTATGTGACATAATATTGCATGATAATAATTGGTAGTGCACCGTGATAAGGATTAGTTGTGAGATATAATATTTTACGATGATATTGTATGACAATAGCTGGTAATGCGACATGGTATTTGTGATAACGATTAATAGTTCACCATGATATTTGTTATAACGATTGGTTTATGTGATGGCGAATAGTTGCTTGACATGACATTAAATGAGAACTCACTTGTGATAAAATGTTGCAATGATTGCGAATAGTTGTATGATCTTACGATAATATTACATAATAACAATCATTTATATGACATTTCAGTATTATATGACTAATTAGTTATGTGACGTAATATTTATAATGATTAATTGTGTTACATGATATTATATAACAGTAATTTTTTTTTCCACAAATTTATTAGCTATTAATTATTTCATGGGAAATATGTCTTAAATTTTAATTATAAGCAACTCATTAAAAGGAAAAAGCTTTTGTGGAGTTATTTATAAAAACATTTTATGATTGCATCAAACCATTAATTTTTTCATTTTTTTCAATGATAACATCGTTACTTAGAGATTACTCAGCCAACTAGTTTTAAACTAACATTCAACTCTGTCTGTACTTCAATTTTTGGAACTCATTGCTAGCATATTCCCTCAACATTTGATGATTATTAATTATCACTATGATTGTACTAACTAATTTGATTAATGATACCAGCTGTAAATTAGCTATTTATTTTTTGAAAATAGTTCACGTTTATTCATATTATTATTATTATTATTATTATTATTATCATTTATTATTATTTTAATCCAAAAATTACTCTATTCCACTTATCAATTTAAATTTCACCAGTAAATTCATCAATATTTATTAGTGAAATTTAAATTTAGTAGCAAATTTTATGGTTAAGTAATAATTATGTTTAAAAATAATGAGTTAAAATCAAAATTTATGACTTATTTAATTCCATTTTTTTTGTCCTGTTCTCTTTTCTTTTATTTTTTAAAATTTGAAAAAATTATTCTTTTTGTTTTTCATTTCAAAAAATTTTACTATTAGATTACATTATATCATATAATTTATTAAAATTTTTAAAATACATAAGTTATGCATATATGAATATAAATAAATTGGCATACATTTATGCATTAACACTTACATTTAGGGCTTTTATTCTCATCTAATCGTAAATGTGTAAGTTAAGTTAAGCTAAGTTAGTTAGTCATTTACTAGTTTATAGCTTTTATTTCATCTTTTACATTCACTAAGCAGTTGTCACTTCAAATGGTTCAAATTGATGAATATAGCATTTCTCATATATGGAAATTTTCATCACTCTTTACTTTTAATCTTAATCTTAAGAAATTAAAAAATGAAAAAAAAAAAACAAACAAATACACTTTCCTTTATAAACTATTATTCCGTAAAAAATTTCATTATTATTTTTCTTTTTTAAATTTCAAAAAAAAAAACAAGCTATTATTTTCTTAAATATTTTTATTGTAAAAGTATTTAAAAAAAATTTTTTTTTAAAGAAGATCCAATCTTTTTTTTTCTCTGTTTCAATATTGATGTAAAATTATTTCAATTCATTCATTTCATTTTTTTTCTTTTATTTTTTTAATCATTTATCAACCAAAAATATTTTATTGATTTTGGATAAAGCTTAATTTTATTCCATTAATTTAAACTTTCTTTCCTTTTTATTTTTGCTTATTAAAAAAGAAAAGGCTGAACTACTTATTGATTTTTTTGCATTCCTTTTAGATTTGTTTTAAGACTACGCCTCTTTTTTTGCGAATTTTTTTTTCCTTTCAATTTCTTTGAGAAATATATAAAATGTTTATTTTGAAAATGTTATCATTTATATGATAGCTATGATAAATGTATGATTATAAATATTGATTATATTAATTAAATTATTCTAAATGTATAAAATTAGATTAAAATTTCCTAATTTATTTATGGCAAATTAATTAACAGATAAATGATAGATGCAAATTGATGAATACACGTCAAACTAATATATTATATTTCTAAAAATTCCTTTTTTTTTTTATTTTGTCCATCTATTGCTAACTAATTGCAATTTATTTTTTTCTTTCCTTCTTTTTTAAAAATATAAATGTTGTGTATGAAAAAAGAAATTATATTTCAGCAGTATCAAGAAACTATTTTTTGCTATTTTTTTATCATTTATAATTATAACGTTTAAATTGGTATGGAAAAATACTTTTAAAATTAATAACGTACGTAAATTTATTTATTTGTTGAATTTTATTAATTAACTAAAATTTATTTATTAAATCTTATTGAAATTATTTTTTGTTTTTATTAGATTTTCTATTTATTAAGATAAATTTATTGAAAATTTTAACGTATTTGTATTTTTGCACTTGCAAAAATACAATTTGAGCAAAGATGGAAAAGATTTATTACTTAAATATATTAATTATTAACTGTTTGTTATTAATTCCTTAACTTTTTCTTTTCTTTAACGGATCTATGATTAAGTGAACCATAAAATGTTTAGTTTATGGCGCAAAATGCCTTTTAAAAAAATATTATTATAAATAATTCTAATTGGTAACAATCATTGGTACCTGAAATTTCGAATGGGTAAAATCCATGAAATCTAGTAAATTAGGTGACAAAAAAAAAAAAAAGGCAAAGAAAAAGAAAGGGAATAAAAAAAAAGAAACGAAAACTCTTTCTGACATTTTTTAAAGATTTTTTTTTTTGTTAGACAATGACACATTTTGATGCCCATGTTTTGTAAAACAAGGCGCAAGTGTTCCAGATGATAATTTATTGACTGCTTATAAAATATCTAAACGAACCATTTTGAAGTAAATTATATTATATCAATTCATTTTTTGCAATATTTTTATTAATAATATTACAGGTCAAGTTAATTGCAATTATTATTGTTATTATTGAAATGCTATCACAATAGAAAGTTTCAATAATAAATGCACGTAAGATTACAACAAGTTGGTGAATATTAGTTTTGCAAATGACTAAGTTAAAATATTTTGATATGTTTTGAATAAATTATTTTGTTTATCTAAATAGCATTGATTATCTCTTGATTAATTGAAATTGTAAAAAGTTAAAAAAAAAGACAATATGATGAAAATTTTGGCTTAAATTTTAATATACTTTAATGTCAGTGAAAAATTTGGCCTAATTTCAACATTTGTACACCAGTATTTATAATCAATTTTACAAATTGATTATAAATACTGATATATAATACATCTACTTACCAAATATCAGCTAGCAAGAAATATTGATAATTTAAATATTCGTAATGTAAATGAATATGATCAATTTGAAATGTAATTTTTCCTTTCTTTTTTGTATTAACATCAGATTAGATATGAAAATGCTAATGATAATAATACACATTTCAACAATTTTAATTATTTAAATTCCAAATTTTTGTCACCGTAAAAATTTACGTTTTCGAAATCTAACATAATATTTTTCATAAAAATTTTTTATAAATGGAATAAAATTTGATGCAATATTAGTGAGAAATTTGGCTTTAATTTTAATATATTTTAATGCCAGTGAAAATTTGGCTTAAATGATATTAGAATAAAAAAAATTAATGATTAGAATATCACTTCAATGGTTTTATTCCTTGATTTTTTTTTCTTATTTAATATTACATAAAATAGTAATGATAGTAATAAACATAAAAATGATTGATAAGTATTGATTGATAACTATTGATTGTTTTTATTGACCGATAAATAATTTTAAGGTAACAAGAAAAAAAAACGATAATGGAAATTTCACCTTTCATATTCAATTCACTTATTCCATTAATTTAATCCATAGAACATCTAAATGCATTCCATGGATATATTAACTGCTTACCTCTTTATTATTGCAATTTTACAAAAATCAAAGCATATCAGGTATGTTTCATCATTTTATTATTAAAATTAGTAAGATATAAATATTTAGTTATGCTGATAATGATTTCATAAGTATCACTGATTATCCGTTCAATAGGACTGATATAATTTGATAAGTTTATCAAATTAAGTTAAGTTTAACCTCATTAATTAATGACATTGCTTATTTCTTGAAACAATGATCGAACCATTTGATATTGATCGATTGTGACGGATCAGCTAAAAATTGATTAAGTTCCATTATTATGACAAAGTTTTTTTTGTACCCGAAGGTTACAAGCAAAAAAGTAAAAATTATTTAAGCGAAATTACTTTCTAAGTTAGTTAAAGACTAAATTATTAATTAATTTAAAACTTTCACCATGCTTATTTATATCCCAAAAAATAACTTAAATTTTATATTATGTTAAAAGTCAATTTTTTTCTTTTTTTTTATTTTTTTAATATTTTCTTTTTTTTGTTTCCTTTAAATTATTAAAAAGAAGCAGAATAAATTTATCTTAAATGGGAAAGGAATAAATATCTTAAAAACAAATATTAATTACCCAAAGATTAGAGCAAATTGGAATTTAAAGTTTACTTTTGAGTTTTTTTTCACCTTAGATACAAAAATTTTTGCAAAAGTATAGTAAATTATAATCGACAATAATATTTGTCTATTTTTATTTCTTCAGTTTTTGTAAAATTTTATTTTTAAATAATATTTCTTTTTTTGTCTATACAATCGTTGAAAAATTTTTTGCAAAAAAATATAAACTAAATTGTTACTTATCTAATTCTATTTTCATCAACAACTATGTATCTTTTATTTCTTTTCATCAAATTTTTAGCTTTATTTGTGAGTATTGATTTTTTCAAGTTTTTACTTTTTGGTTTTAATTGTTTGAGTATTTAATCTATTTTCTTTTTATATATTGAATTTGTGAATTGATTTTTTTTTTGTTTAGTCCTTGAGTTAGTGTTGGCTTGTTTTTTGTTTTTTATTACTAATTTTTCTTAATTGGGCATTCGAACTTTTTTTTAATTTGACTATTAATGGTTTTATAGTTATTTTTAAGGAATAGTTTTGTATCCTTTTCATTGATTAACATTTTTAATGAATAGTATATCTTAACTTTGCATGTCAATATCACTTTTCAATATTTGCTATTTTTGACATAAATTTTAGGTTTATTTCCTTATTATTTGTTATTTCTATTAAATTGTTTTTTGTTTTTTTTACAAAGTTATATATTTTTTAGCTTTAGTTTGTATATTTTTTTGTTTATTGTTAAATATAACTTCATTTTTATCTTTTTGCTTTAGTAGTTTAAATTTAGAATTTTACTTTGATAGATTTTTTTTTTTTTTTTTGCATTATTTAAAGAAACAATAAATTTTTTAGTGAAGAAAAAGTCAATGCAAATGGAAAAAAGGGAAAAAGTTAAAAAAAAGGATATGACTGTTTATTTGCATTTCCAAATAACATTTGCATAATTTATTGGACATATAAATCATTAATTAAGATTTATAGCAAACTATTAGCATCGAAGCATTCGTTAAGATAAATTTTTTTAAAATTTCTTTAAACTATATAAAAGAAATTATTTCATTACAGTAATTAAGAGAATAAGAGGTAAAGTGTATAAAAAAGGTTTAAATGATTTTCCACAAGTATTTTTAATAAATTATTATCAAATATATGTTTTAAAGAATGAAATAAATTTGAATTAGGATGAAAGAAATAGAAGATTCTCCTAAATTAGCTTATTTTTATAGATTAATTATTACTAAAATTCACAACCTATTAGCATATTTTTAATAAATTATTATTAAATAATTGTTTTAAAGAATGAAATAAATCTGAAATGAAAAAATTTGGAATAGAAAATAGAAAAGGAAACAAAAACGAAAAAGATCGAAAGATTTATTGATGAACATAAACGAGTAATTCTATTTTTTACTTTATTTCACTGATAATAATTAGAAGTTAAAAAAAAAATTTTCGAAACATTTAAATATACAAAAAAAAGAAAAAAAAAACATTTTTTTTTATTAAAATTTTATTTCTTCTTTTCTTTTCTAAATCTTTGCCCTATTTAGATGCAATAACTTATTAATTAGTAATAGTACAGATCTATTTAATCTTCAAATTCATCAAGTTATGATAACAAATATCGCTGTTGATGATAATCAAGAAAATCTGGAACAAGATTATCAGTGTGATTTAAGCTTATAAAATGATAATATTTAACTAAAATATTCGTTAATAATTCTCATATATCAATAATGAATTGAAAGTATGTAATTAAATCAATCTTTTATTAAGTATCAATAGTAAACATTATTACTGATAACTTGTAAAATGATAATATTTAACTAAAATATATAAATAATAGAAAAAAGAAAATGAAAAAAATAAATGATTTGAGTTTAAAGAAAAAAAAGAAAAAAGAAACACTTGTTTGGATGAATATATTATAATTGCAATTAAAATTTCAATAAAAGTTAGGCCTTAATACAAATTTGCCTTTTATTTCTAGATGTCATTCTGGAATTCGAACAGTTACTACAACATTTGGTGTCATACGAGGTGAAATGGTAAGTCCAAATGCAGGTGATTTACCACCGGTGGCACAATATCTTGGAATACCATATGGTGTTGCACCTTCCGGACAGGTGTCTTAATTTAAATTTTGGAAATTAAATCTTTGCAAATGCTTACTTTTTGAAGAAGAAGAAATGTAGTGTCATTAATAATTTGTATCATAATTACTAATTATTTTGAATAAAACGAATTGAAGTGCTTGAAATAAATTAAATATTTAATTCATTTAATAGTATCGCTTCAATATGGCTATATCAGCAGCAAAATGGACTCATATGCCTAAAGACGCATACAGTTTATCTTCTGTTTGCATACAATCCGGTATTCCGGAGCTTGCGGAAACAAAGTGAGAAATTTTTTTTTAGTTTTTGTTGTTCTTTTTTAATTTCATCTCTTGCTTTATAGACAATTTAAGATATATCGATTATCATTTACACTTTTATACACTAACTTAACATCTATATAGAATTTCACTATTTTTTTTAAATTATTTAAAATTCATAATTTTATTTAATTCAAATCGAAAAAATTTGGCATTTTAGAAATGCATTTGTTCACAATTGCAAAATAAACATATTTTAGTGGCTTGTTTTTATCACATTAAATAATTTTTTATGTTTACAAAAAATAAATTACAAATATTTTGCAAAAATCTTTGTTCTTTTTCAGAGCGCTCAAGATGACATCAGCGCAACATTACGATCATATGCATAAATTATTGCCAAAACTTAAACCACAGTCTGAGGATTGCTTACATATGAATTTATATGTACCTGAAAGAATTTGTGTGTTTTTTTCTTTTTTAAATTTTTTTTTTAAAAATTTCTTTTAAAATTAAAATTTTTGAAATATTAAAATAAATACTTCAAAATTTAATACTATTAAAAGAAAATTTTATTTTGATTGATTGAAATTTTTATTGGTTTAATTAAATGTAAAATAAAATTACAATTTTCATTTTGAAATGACAATATTATATTTCTTGCAATATAAAAAAATTTAGGTTTAATTTTATTAATTTAAGAAAAGATACCAAAAAACAAATAAATAAATTTAGCTTTCCATACCGATTCAAACCGAAAACAGTTGCCCGTTCTTGTGGTAGTACACGGTGATGAATATGGCTGGAATAGTGGTAATCCCTACAATGGTACCATACTTGCATCATATGGTCAAATTATCGTTATCACACTAAATTATCGCCTTGGTGTTTTTGGTGAAAAATTAATTTTATAAAATATTTTAAATATAAAAATAAATGTTACTATTTGAACCTATTTCAGAATTTGCTAAAAACAATCGTTAACAGTTTTACTGTTTTGTTTTTGTTTATCAATAGATAATTTAATTTTAAATTTAGGATTTTTGGGTCGATGTGAATCATCCAGTTGTTCGGGTAATTCGGGTTTATCAGATTTGGTAGCAGCTTTAAAAATGCTTACAAATATTTTGCCAGCTTTTGGTGGTGATCCAAATTTAATCACACTTCTTGGCTGGGGTTCTGGTGCATCATTGGTTAGTCAATTACTATTAATTCTTTTTTTTTTTTAAATAAGAAATAAAAATAACAAAAATTTTGCAAACGTTTAAATGTCTCGTTTAAATATTACTTCTTTTGTTTTTTTTGTAGAAACTTTTTATAATTAATACTTTATGAATTTTGGGTTTCCTTATTAATGGCTTCACCAATAACTCAGCCAAATAATCGAATGTTTCGGAGGGCAATTCTGCTAGATGGTTCTGCTCTTGCACCATGGGCAATGAGTAAAAATCCTCAGCCGATATTTCTTCAACTTGCTGAACATTTAAAGGTAGCAAAATTATGATAATTTTTTAATTTAATTAATTGAACAGTAGTAAGATGGTTGTGAAAAAAATTTTTTAATTTCTTTAAGTAAATTAAAGCAAATTTCATTCATTATAATTGTTTAAATTATTTATTCCAAATAATTTGGATGAAAGATCTTAATGAAATTAATTGAAGGAAATTTTGATAATTTTATTTCAAATATTGATTTGCTTTATTTAATGTAATCAAAATGAAAATGAATTTTGTAAAATAATTCAAAATGAAAATGAATTTTGTAAATTAATTCATTTTGTAAATTAATACAGGTGAAGAATTAGTTTTTGAATTTGACAAATTTATAATTAATTTTGTTAAAACTAAAAAATAATTAGCATTGGTTTTAATTTATCCCGTCAACAATTTCATGTTGGAAATAAATTAAATTTTTACATAATAAATGTAATACATATAATACATTATTTAAACCAATTAAATTTAAATTATTTAACTATAGTGCATCGAAAAAGTGGACAAGAAAAAACGTTTAACACATAATCAGAGAAGTGCCGAAAGTATTGTACGTTGCATGCAAGATCATTCACCACAAAATATTACACGTGCAGCGCGGAAAATTTCCACGCCAACATTTCTGTCTCGTTTTGCGCCAATTATTGACGGACAGGTTATTTAGAAATATATTATTGATTAGTAAGTAATTTATAAATAAATTACTGGTTAATAGGTTAATTTCTAAGCAAATTGCTGGTCTCTTAATAAATAACTGATTAATAGGTTATTTATAAATAAATTATTGTTGAAAAAGTTATTATTTTAAAAAAAGAAAATTGTTTAAATAATTTGATTACTTCCATAAAGAAAGTGAAAATTTTAGGTTGTACCAAATAAACCAGAAGCATTATTTGGTACACAATATGGTTCATTATTTCGCAATGTTGATTTATTAGTTGGAATGACGAATAATCCAGCTCATTATCTACTTCCAAATGATGATATACGTTTGGGTATTGATAAGGACAAACGTGATAAAATTTTTCGGTTTGTTTAAAATATTTATTTTCTTCAATTTCTAAAATGTATTAAAAATTATTTTAAAAAAAAGGCTGATAAAAGCAAAATTATTTGAGAATATATTAAAAATTATTTGAAAAAAAAGGCAGGAAAGAGCAAAATTATTAAAAAAGAAATTTCTTCCTTTTTTTCAGAACACTTATAAGGAATCTTTATGATTTCCATCGTAAAGAAATTTTAGCAGCACTTATTAATGAATATACAGATTGGGATAATCCAAAGGTAAAAAAAAAATTTAACAATTTGAATTTTTTTTTTTTGATAAATATGAGAATTTATTTTTGAATAAAACTTTTCGTTTGTTTGCTTTTTAAAAATAAAAAAAAATTTTTTTTTTAAATTTGTCAACGTTATCAGTAAATTGTAAACTATGGTAGAATTTAATTAATTTGACGTAGACTATCAATCAGAACTATCAATGTCGTTTTTTTCGTTTATCCAGAATATGAAATATTTTTGTAATAAATTGAAATATTCATTATTATTGCTATTACGGTTGAGCAAAATGTATTGGAAATGTTAAATTTTAAGGATCATCCAAAAACAATTCGTAATGGTGTTCTTGAGGCGCTAAGTGATGTTTTGTTTATTGCGCCACTAATCGAAACAGCTCGATTACATTCCATTGATGATGACAGGGAGGCATCAAATACTTTTATGTAAGTATGAAATTCCTTTTTGTTTGTTATTTTATTATTTATTATTTCAACTAATTAAGCCACAAATTTAACTTATTAAATAATTCAATTAAAATATAATGATAAATTACTGTTATAGAATGGTTTGTTATGAGTGTAAACTGCATGAGTAGCAAATAGCTAAAAATATGACTTGTTACAAATTAATTAACAATAATTTTGAAATTTAAAATTATTTTCTATTTAGGTTTTTATTTGCTCATGAATCAAAGAGTAGAACAGAGGAAACAATTGCAAGTGGTATTCGAGGTTCAATTTCCGGTGATCATATACCTTACATTTTTGGATATCCGCTTAATAAAGATGATGATGTAATTTTTAAATTTGCTATAATTTTTGCTTAAAAATTTAAGTGAAAAATGTATGAAAAATTTTTTAGGCTAAATTTTAAACTGGAAAAAGAAAACAAAAAAATGCAAAAAATTCTTTCTTAATTTTTATCGAATTTGTTTTATTTTTTTTTTCTCCCTTTTCCTTTCTAAATTCGTTATAACATATTTTAATCTCATATGAAGATTTTTGCAAACAATTTTTAATCTTTATGATTTATAAAATTATTCATTATTTAATTTTTCAAATTTGGTTCCAGCTTTATTTTGGTTTCACAGCTGAAGACCAAATGATCTCACGTATTATGATGCATTATATTTCAAATTTTGTTAAATCCGGGTACATTTTATTTTACACTGAAAAAACGAAAAAAATTAATTTGAAAAATAATGGAAAATAAATTAGTAATTTCTACCTTAATCCAAAATTTATAATAATTCACAATTTTTAGTAATCTACCAAAATGATTTCCGAAAAAAAACAATCTTTTTTCTGGACTAAATATTAAGGGATATATTTTATTTTTTTTTTTGCTATTTCATTTTTATTCCTTTTTTTTGTAATTAGCTTTTATTAGTTAAAAAAAAAATAAGTCTTGAAAATTTTATTTAATTTAAATACTTCCGTCCAACAACAACGCAAAAAATATGAATGAACAATAATAAAGTGAATGATTAATTGAATAATCATAATTTGCATTTAAAGTGATCCAACTAAGCCAGTGCAATTACAAGCTATGACACCGATTGCGGAACGTTTTCATAGCGTCGCATGGCCACAACTTACACAACGAAATCGTGAACCATACCTTGAAATAAGTATGACGAATTTTAGAAATAAATAATTTAATACTTTTAAAATCACTATGATTAAATTTTTGGCATACAAACTTTTTCAAATTTAATTTTCTATCATTTGCATTAAGTACTTTAGTTTCAATTATTATTATTGTTACTGTTGTTGTTAAATGTTCAAAGTATTCAATGTCATTTATTTATCTAACATTGAATATTCAGCCGTCATTTATTTATCTTACGTGAGCAATTAAACAACATTTATTTATCTGACGTAAACTATTCAACGTTATTTACTTATTTAAGTTGGTTCACTCATTGTTAATTCAACATCATTTATTTATTCGACATGAACAATTCAACATCATTTTCTTATCCAACATGAATAATTAATTCAACGTCATTTATTTATCTAACGTGAACAAATGTCCAATCGACTATTATTACTTGAAAATTCTAATATATTTCTTTACATCAAATACACAATATTTGTTATTTATCTATTTATTTATTTTTAACAATTATTTCTTTTAGCTGATAGACCACGTGTAAAAAATTATTATCGAAATGCTCAGGTTGGTTTCTGGAATGGTTTAATACCACAATTACATGCCAATGGAAAAGAAGGAGTACCTGTACCCGAGGTATATTTCATGTTATTTATTGAAAAGATTATATCATAAAATTAAAAATTACACTAAGAAAACTTATTATAAGCTTAATGTATTGGAAATATTTTTAAAATTTATGCATAAAAATTTAATAAAATCAAGTTTATTTATTTTTTTTTTCAGGAACATCATTTCCTTTCAAATCATTTCAAACGTGAATCATTTTTTGGTACCGTAAGACCATATGCAAGCTATGCTAATGAACCATTTCCTCCACCACCTCTGCCACCGACACCGCTTCCAAAATCTATCGAAAAGCTCACTACATGTTCATTCTTTTTTTTAATATTTTAAATTTCTTTTTAAAAAATGTAAATTGAAAATTAAAAAAAAATTAATTTCTTTTTTTAAGAAAAATAGCTTTTTAAATGTAAAAAAATTTTAAATTTTAAACATAATGTTTAAAATTATATTTGTGCATTAAATGCATATGATTAATATTTGTTATATGCGGTATTATTCTAATAATGATTGAAAAAATTATTTAATGAATAAATACGATAAGATCTTTAAAATTCTTTTATCTTTAAAATTTTTATTTTTTTAACGATTATTTTCCTATTTGCTTTATAGATATAAACAACAAAATGAAAATATATTTTGATATTTTAGTTTCATCGCAACAGATAAATTCTGATGCAATTCCAACAACTCTAATACCATTTGTAAAAGCAGCCCAGAATAGTACGATGTTGTCAGTTACAGTTGCTGTTGGTTGTGGCTTATTATTTCTTAATATATGTATTGGCCTTGGTCTTTACAGGCAGGTATGTTTTTTTCTTTCTTTCCTCTTTCAAATCTATTAATCTATCATTTTTAATAATTTAAAGTTTTTAATTTATGATATAATTATTTAGCTTTTATATATCCTTTTTCACTACTTTCTCCTTTATTTTTTTAGAAATAATAAAAACAATTTGGAATTGATAAAAACAGTCAAAAAAAAAGATATTTTTTTTAAAATCAAATCAAATTTGAGATATTTAAATGATAAGATTAAAATAAATTTATATATTTTTCTTCTTTTCCATTTTTATTTATAATTTATAAGACAAAATTGCTTAATTTTAATAACTAAAATTATTGTAAAACAATTATTTTTAGCATAATCAGTTACAAATACAATCAATCCTGTATTGTGCTTTATTTTTTAAAAAATTTTTTTAATACTACCTTTTAATTCATACTTTTGTCTTATAGACTAAAATTCATATCTTTTAAATAATTTAATACAGTATGTTTGAAATATAATTACTCACTCTCAACTTTTTCAGAGGATTATTTATCATAAATCTACTTGAACCACTTAAAATTCCTAAACCACTTAACTTCTTAAATCTTCAAAATTCTTTTAAACCCTCTTAAAGACGTTTATATATTTGTTGATATTATTTTTATAGTGTAATAAAAAAGAAGAAACAAAGAAGAAATTACAATTACAATATCAAACTTATTCGGCTAATTATCAGCTAAATGCAACTGATATGAATTATATCAATAATGTTACTGGACAACAGGTTTGCTTGCAAAAATATATAAATTTTTTAAAATTATCAAAAAAAAATCTGAAAATATTAGCAATACTATCACAATTATCGTGCCCAGTTCTAGTTATCAATTAATGATAAGAGAGAGAGTAGCTGCATGATAATGAAAAAATAATAATTCAACAATTCGATAGATTTAGCACATAAATAGCTAATTAATTAATTAATCTATCGTAACAATTTGCTTAATCCACCATTTAACATTCAATTTACTAATTTTAGTATCATTAAACAAATTTCATTTATTTCAATTTTTTCCCTTTTCTATTAACCAAAAAAAAAAATTTCATTTTTTTTTTTTTGAACTCGAACTTTCTAATTAATTTTTATGCTAAAAGATGAAATAAAAATTCTTTAGTTTTTTTTTTCTATAAAATTAAAAAAAAAAAAAAAACAAAAACAAAAATCTATTAAAATATTTTTTTTTAAATATCATCATTTGAATTATTATAAATTTTGCAGCAATTAAATTACATATCAACACTATCACAATCACAACAACAACTACCACCACCAGCACCACCACCATCATCATCATCACAGCAACAACAACAACAACAACAACAACAACAACTCTCATCATCATCACTTAGTCAACGTCCATCGATAACGAATTCGATAACTGCACCATTGGATTCCCTATCATTTAAAACGAATGATTTTGAAACATATCGTATAAATTCCTATCAAAACTACAATGATACAACATATAGTGATACATTAATAAGTAAATGTAACTTTCAAGAACAGGTATAGTATATGCATAATTCATTATATAAATAATTCATTAAACTACTAATAATTAATATATCTTATTATTATTACATTTAATTTTTATATTTATTATACTTGGTCTTTTCTAAATATTTAATCATTATATTATATTTATTATATTTTATTATATGTAACTTGCAATTAATTTCTTATATATTACAGTTTATTATTGTTACAATTTTATTTTCTTTCTTTTTTTTCTTCAAGCTATTTTATTTATTCACATATTTAACAAAAAAATTAAAAAAATTTTTGTTTAAATTTTTTAAAATTGTAAATTTTTTTGGTAATATACTTTATCAAATGAAATTTATATGATATCACATGTAAAAGGAGTAAAAAAATACTAAATATGTCTTTAACATTGTTTGTTGTACTTAATAAAACAAGAATAAAAAGTGCATGAATATATTATTTGTTACTTTGACTTACTTTTTCTTTTAATTAATTAGTGGATAATAAATGGGCAATTAATTTGTTTAATATGCTAGCATGTGATTTGAAAATTTTTAATATTTTTTTCTATTTTTAATATTTTAAATTAAAAAAATGTTTTTGAAAATTTTTGTATTATACAATTTTAAATTTGTCATCGCTTTTTTTCTTTTTTTAGGAACCATTATTATCAACGACAAATAAAACATCAATAGGATCATTACGAATTGGCATAAGTCCAACATGTCCAAAACATGGTCGGGCGGCAATGGCTCAAGCAAGCGGTAAAGTTACTTCATTAACTGGCTTATCAACAGGTGGACATACCTTAGAAGAAATACAAGTATAATAATGCATTATCATTAATATCAATTCAGTCAACGCATTTTTTTAATCAAATTTATTTCTTAATGCAAATTTTTTTCTTTTCCTTTGTTATTTTTTATCATTTTTTTCCAAAGAAAAGTGAAAAAAAAAGAAGTTAAAATTTTATTTATCTAACATTACTGGCAAAGTTTCAAATTTCATTTTAAAATATTGAAAAAAATTCCCTTTTTTCTTGATTTAATAGCTATGAAAATCTAAACCACTCATTAGTAGAACTATTTTTTTTATGTCATCAAAAAAAAAATTTTAACCAAAATTTTCTTTACTTCCTCTTTTGTAATTCAGTCAATTATATTTTGCAAATATATGAATAATTTTTGTATTTTTATAATCATTAATAAACTTCAGATAATTGATAATAATTATTTTGAGCATATTTTCATCATCGTTGTTTGTTGTTTTCATTTTTTTTCTCTATAAACAAATCATATTAATACTGCTAAATTTTGCTAATTAATTAGCACAAATATTCGATAAATGTTAACTTGAATTGCTATCACTGCACGATGATCTTTTAATTCAATAATTGAACATTTTAAGTAATTGTAAATATTTTGGTAAATTGTTATCTCTGCTCAATTTTTGTGCAAAAAAGAAATTATTATTACTCTTTATTTTTCATCTATGTTTAGCTATTTTTTGAACAAATGCTAATAAAGTGTTTAATATTGTAATATTTTACAAATTATTTTTAATAAAAGAAAATGTCAAAACAAAAAACACGTATACATGTAGTGAAAAAATTTGGGCAATTACTTTACAACAAATTAGTCATAAAAGTTTTTAAATATAAAAATATGCATTACCATTTAAAATTCAAAATTCATATTGAATGAATTAACATAAAATGTTTGGGAATTTAAGAATAAGTTAGCACTATCAAACAAAAAGAAGGAAAAGAAAAAAGAAAAACGAAAGCTAATTATTGAACTGATAATCGTTAGCTAACTCTTTTCGATGTTTATTTCAAAAAAAAAAAAAAGTTTTAAAATAAAAACAAAGAAACTGATAACAGATTTAATTGAAATATTTCAAAAATGGTATCATGTGATAAATCTTTTTATAAATAATATTTTTGGTTAATCGTCTTAATTGCAGAATAAAAAAAAAAGAAAAAATAAAAAAATTGCTATAAACAGCAAATGGTTTATTCAAAATATTTTTCTTTTTATCTCTCAAAATTTGCTTTTCAGAAATAATTAATGAGTAAGGAGAGAGAGAGAGAGAGAGAGAGAGAGAGAGGGAAAGAGAGGGAAAGAGAAAACATGACTTTGAATTTTTTTATGATATTATACAAATGCTATATGCATAAAATTGAAATTACTCATGGGAATTCGACAAACAAATGAATTTGAATGGAGTATCTCGGTACATTAACATAGAGAGAAAGAGAGAGAGAGAGAGAGAGAGAGAGAAGGAGAGAGAATTGCCCCAAAGACAATTACTCACCGTATATTAGCGTATTCTTTTTGCATATTTTATTGATAATATTTTTATTGGAAAAAAACTAAACCAAATTATCGTTTTGTTTTGTTTTTGTTTCCTTCTTTTTCTAACTTCCTTTTTTTTAATGGTTTCAATGAATAATTGTTCATTTTAAAGCTATCAAATTACTTAAACTATTTACTTATTTTTGCTAGCTTTTAATTAATTTGAAATTAATAGCATATTTTTTTTATAGTTTTACTGTTTATTTAATTGTAAATCTTTTGCGTACATGAAAAAAATGATAATTGATATCGTTAAATGATTACATGTGCAATCGAGCAGAAAGTCACTCATTTTTGCTTATTTTTAATTAATTTAAAATTTTTGAAACTTAAAAAAGTGATGATTGATACTATTAAATGACTACATGCTAAGCAGGAAAAATGAATCACTCATTTTTTGCTTACCTTTTAATTAAAAGTTACAAGGATATTTCATCTTAGCTAATTACAACTAAATTATGTTTTTTCTATCAGCATCTTTATCATTTAAAAACATTAAAACTTTTCGTGGATAATATAATTTCTTAATGATTATTCAAAATAAATGTAAGGAAACTTTTTTTTCAATGATAATTTTAAAAAAGAAGTTGAAAATTTGTATAAATTACGATATTAATCGATTGGTGAATATTTTTAGTCTTTATTTTTTCTGAAATTTAATTTCTACCCAATTTTTTTTCGAAATCTTTTAATGATATATTATACATGCATATGTACTTGTAAGATTAATCTTTTTAATTGTTGATATATAACTATTATGATCAAATAAATATAATATAATAAAAAATCTGTTTTTAAAATACACGAATAAATAATTTGTTATTTTGAAAGGTATTTGTAATATTCAAATTTATTATACAAAAAAAGATAAGTTGAATAATATTTAATTGTTTATAAGAACTGCTCGAGAATTTCTGGTATTTTTTTTAATGAAAATTGAGGAAAACAGAAATTTACTTTGGTTTCAATTTACATTATAGTTTTTCATATTCATTGAAGATATTAAATTTCTTAAAAAAAAAAAAAAAAGCATATATTTGATTTAATGAAGCACCGAACTATTTTTCATATTAACATATATTTGTAATTTTTCATCAAATTATTTGTTAATGAAGTATTAGTTCTTTTTTTTATCCAATTAATATTATCTGCCCTTTTCTTAAAGAAAAAAACAAAATAAAATTGTTTTTGAATTAACCTTAGAAAGTAATTTCTTTCCTTTTTTTTTCAATTATCTATATTATTTCACTCACTCCTTTCTTTTTCACTTTATTTTTTCATTTTCATAGCTCAAATTTATCCAATTAATCCAACAACTGTTTAATAGCAATTATATTACGTTGAATTTAAATTCGATTAAATCAATCATTTATTATTTATTTCCTATTTACATTTTTTTTTCTTTTATTGTTTTAAATAAAAATGAATTTAAAATTTCCAAGTCTTTTGGTTTTTTTTAATATAAAAATTTAACACAAATTTTACTGTGTATTATTATTCACATTTAAAAAAACGAAAAAAAAAAAATTAACGATAAATTAGAATAAACAAATTAGTAGCATTTATCTTTCTTTCTTTTTCTCTTCCTTTCCTTCTCTCTCTCCTTTCTTCTTTTTTTCGCTATATCAAAATGATTAAATTGAAAAGCAAAAAAAAGAAAGTAAAAGTTATTTTACTTTTCGATTACTTGTCCGATAAATTCTTGCAGATATGAATAAAAGTATAAAGTTTTTATTATTAAAAAAAAAGAAGAAAAATTGATGACTAGTTTTTTTTAAACATAGTTATGATACAATTTAATGTTAAATAATGAATGTCACAGCAGCACACCAATTATTTTCACCGACTATATATTATATTTTAAAATTGAAAGAGAGAATTGAAAAATTTTTTAAAAGCGCTCGAAAATTCTAAATGAATGTATCAATCATTCTACATCACTCGTTTTTCTCTACTTTTTTTAAATTTTGTAAAAACATGAAGTTTTTGTCCAAACAATTCATTTTTTATTTATTTTTCAACAATTTTGGAAAATAATTTAGAAAATTTTTTCTTTTTTTTTTTTTTTTTTTGAAAAAAATCTTTAATGAGATAAAAATTTTCAATGAGATAAGAAATTTATCAGTCATTAAATGATAATTAAGTCTATCATCAAAAGATGCGAATAGTTTTACGAGTAACTTTAGTATGATAGAAAAAAGAACTGCTGAACCGTGAATTATATGTTAGCAATTGATATTTTATTATGATTCAAAACAACATGATAAACAGATGGTTGTTTAATGATTAAGTAACAATAAAGTAAAGAGGTAGCAGTTGTTTCAAGCTATGTTTAACTAAAGTTTAGATTTACTTTTATTTCAAAACTATTTAACAACTTCGTCATACTACAAACAGCATTAGAATAAATAAAATTTAGTGATTAAAATGATTTGGTAAGTATAATTTAAAAAAAAAAAAATGAGAAGTTCTTTAAAAAGGAAAAAAAAGAGCCAAAACATCTAGATCAGACCATTAATTATTATAGCTTCTAATAAATGATTGAATAATTATCGACTACTTATTGTTATGATAATGAAACCTTCTAAAATGATTATATTTAGACAAATAATACTAATATCAAAATCAATATTAATTATCTGGATATAATACCAGAAATTAATATTGTTAATTAAATCTGTCAAATTTAAGATTAAAAAATTTCATTAAATTTCTTAGTGAATTAATTTTTATAACATATATTTCATATGCATCATTTATGATTTTTTGTCTCTTTTAATTTCTAAAAGTTTATGAATTTTTAAATAAAATTCATTTATCAGTTCATTTATTATCATATCATTCTTCATCATCTTTTCATGCCAAACACCATAAAGGCTAAAAAGGAGTAAAAGGAAACTTTTAGCTTTGCTATCTATTTATGATTCTTTTTTTTTCCATTTTTTTGAAATGAAAGGATGAATTAAATTTTAGCTTTTTAAATTGATATTAAAACAGATATCAACACTGACAAAAAAAAAGAATTTTTCACTTCATAATTAAATTATATGGCACAAATGTAAAATGACATTAAAAAAAACTGTCTCTATAGTAGAAAAGAGCAATAAGTATTGCAGAATATGGGTTTTCTTTCTTTAAAAAAAAAAAGAAAAAAAAGTTTTTTATATTTTATAAGTTTCCCTTAATCTATTTTACAAGTTTTTTTAATCTATTTTACGAGATTTCTTAACTAATAAATTAATTTTTTAAATTTATTAAATGATTGCTTTAAAAATTCTTTTTTGCAATATGTCGAAATTTACAATAATTTTTCACTTTTACATGATAGTATTTTTACCTGTCTTTTTTCTTCTAGTTCCTCCTTTTATCTTATCAAAAAAACCCAGTATTTGCAGACAAAATTTATTAGCTTGAAAAAATGAAATAATTTATAGAAAAAATTTCCACAAATTTTTTTGTTCTAAAATTAAAA